AATCACTTACACTATCATATTAGTTGCCTCCTCTATTAAAGCAGTGTGGTCGATAATTGGAATGCTTTTATGTCTAGTGGTTCTGACAAGGCTCTCTTTAGGTCACATACGGGCGGTCTAGCTCGCTGCACAGCTGAACGGTGGCAAATGATTTAAACTGAGAAAGTATTGTTCTCCTCGTATTATGGAGCAAGGGCAGTTCAAGGAAAGTAAGGCTCTGTGCTGGCTACCTGCTGGTGTGTAGTAAAATAAGATGGACATGATACTGGGCCGGGAGTACAATTAAATCTATTTTGCACCAATGTGTTGGTGGACAGATGAGTTTCCACATGGCAGAGCTTTATGATCTTTAAGGTAGACTGAACTAATAGATTGGTGTGGCGCGCACTGAAGTTACTAAGGATGAGAAAGCAAGCAGCAGTACATTTGAACTACAGGTTTCTCATATGCTCCGCGTCATGCTGAGTTTTTATAGCTCCTGGCTTTCAAAAAGCCTGTTTCAAAGAGGTTTGCGCTAGACTGGGCATGCAGTTTTGCTCTGCAGATATTGTCGCTACCGATTTAGTGGAATGCAATTAGGAAGCCTAAATTAAGTGGTAATGGAGAACCAGCTCTTGAAACTGGGGTTTCCACGGCAACCACTGCTTACAATACAGCCTTCAGTTAGTTTTCCCACTTTATCTGCAAAATGCACAATTGAGCTTTAAAACAGCTTTGTGCTGAAAAGCGCACTGTAAACAACTGTTTGCAATGAGAGTTTTACACTGTCTTTAAATACAACAAGCGATCAAATAAAATTTACTTGTCCACACTAATAAAAAAAATCCTTGCGGTACAAAACACTGAAGGGTCCAGAAACTTATTATTCATTCTAAAAATGTACATATAATAGAAAAATTCAAGATCTTGCGGGTCCTCAATTCGTCTTTTAAGTCTTATCATTATTCCTCAATTTTAAGTCACATAATCCCATATCTCTCAGTAGTGAGAAGAACTGAGCGTTTTGGTACAAATACTGTATTTATCGCAATAGTAGTGCTATATAGTTATAAAGTGCTTTTTGTCTAATATGAGCTATTAAATGTGCATTTTCATCAGACTTTCTTTTACATCTAGCAATCTTCTATGGTTGTTTTTTTTTTAAATCCCTGTATGATGTATTGTTATATCCTTCATAAATGTTCATATTTTTCAGTAAAGTAACACTGCTCCATTTCTTAACTGCTTAACATTTTTGATGGCTTTAGGATCATAGCACAAATTTTACATCTTCTTAAATGTAACCTCAAGTGATTAAATATATGTAAAATAGGGGACACTGAAAAGAATGATATTTGGGTCACTTGTGCAATTTGTATTAGCCATCTTTTCCATGATAACTCAATCCAACTGAATCTCTAGGCTGAAATTGCATCTTTGCATCCAGTTGTTTCCTTTCTGTTTTACAAACACTAGTCTTGGAATAATAGTGTCAGGTAACTTGTAAGAGTTGAGATCTCAGTGATTTTTAATTGCTTTTTTTTTTTTTTTGCCCTTTGTATTTATTTGTTTTGATCAAGATAAAATCTCTAAGAAAACATTGTGTAAATTTCATCAAGATAATTTCAGAAGCCACATTATACAATTTTGGTTTTTGGCCTAACAGCTATCAGTGTTCCTCGGAAAATTAGGAAAAAAAGCACAACAGCAAAGAATCACATAGCTATTCAAAACACACCTAATGTGCCTCTCCGTTGAAGTGCAGCAACCCAAGCACCTTGTAGTACTTCAAGATTGCCGCACTCATGTGTTGTGTTTTATGGTTGGCTTGTTGCAGAGAAAGAGAAGGAGAGAGGGAAGAGGTAAGAGACCAGAATGGTGGCAGGGATGGAGTAACCATAGGTGCCTTCTCTTAAGAGTTAACAGTCAGAGCAGTGCGTCTCAGCGTCTAGTCATGTATAAATCTGGGTTTGCTACAGTTTCTTCAGACTTTGAACATACCAGGCAGGGAAGCTTGCCCTTCATAGTGTGAGTGTGCTTTCAGCCATGGCAAATGGTCTGCATATATTCTGCTCTGCTCAAAACAGCCTTTTGAGAAACAACAAAACCAGACTGAGGATGTAAGGGCTTACTGCAAAGTTCATATCTCCTCTGTTGTGTGCTGGTGCTAATGGGAGCTTCTCCCATGATGGAGAGGTCATAAAGCATGCGGCTGTAGAGACCACACAGAGTGAGCAAATCAAAGAACTTAGCAATAAAAATGATGTGTGTACTGATATTATTTAATATTCACTTGTGAAAATTGTTGAAGAAACACATCTTTGTGGTATATCAGAGTAGGCTCTAAAGCTGAATCAACGGAATAATAAAGTTATTTGTAATTATATTGTCCTCATAAAAGCTTTATTATTTAGGAATCAGAGTTTGAAATTGTAATTTCTTTAATGATTTTTCATCACATAAATTAGCCTGCCTTACTCCTCCGTCTAGAAGGCACGAGGAGAGGTTGAGCTGGTCCCCTTCTTCATTCTTACACAAAATCTGCTCATTTGGACCGATCCCAATTTTTGAAGAAACAAGTTCCTGGAAGAAGCACAGAATGCCAGCGTGCACAAGACTTTCACAGGGCATCTCGTTTCAACACTGACTGCCTGCATTTTATCAGAGTACGAAAGGACACATTGAAATTATTTTGTTCTGGCACCAACGCACATTGTGATGTGTATGCCTTCGATTGCACTTGACAAATCTTTGGGGCAAACAAAGTGGTCTAATGTAAGGGAATATCTCAGCGTATCCCAAAATGACATTTTTAGACCAAATGTATTCAATTGATCTGCCTTCCCCAGAGATCACTTTTGAATCCCAGCCAGCAATAAATCTGGGAGCCGCCTCTCGCTGAAGGCCAGGCGGGTCAGCAGTGCTTCCGCTGGTATTTCCTGCACCGCCGCGTCCCGCACCTCACTGTACAAATAGCTCCACATGGCATCCTGAGAGCGTGCCAGGGAATTTTGTGATCACATGCCAAGCTGAGTTGTCAGGTTCCACTCTACTGCTGCGTGTGTATGTGTGTGCTCATATGTGCGTGTGGCTGGAGCTAACTTCAGACTCAGTAATTACCATAATCCAAACAGGGCCTTTACCATCCTATTTGCATTCAGCCAGCAGTGCTGTTTTTATCAGCACCACTACTGAATTGTTGCAAAGTTTTAATTATCTTAACAACTCTCCTTTTTCCTTCCTTTTTTTTTTTTTTTTTTTTTTTTTTTTTCCTTCCCCCTTGGGTGTTTTGGGATTTCTATGGTTGCCCCCTACAGCAGCAACCAGATTTCTGCAATACAAACTTTTGTCTTTCTTATATTCTGGCAGTAATTTAAGGTATCCTACCTCAATACTGCTTGTAGTGGGGACAGAGGCAGAGGAAGGTTTTGTTTATTAATTAATGCCTAATATTTTTCTCAGTAAAAGTCATTCTGAATTCTTCTATTTAAATTCCATTTAAAGCCCCAGTATAACTTTACACGTGTAGGCTTGCTCAACTGAAAGAAACTATTTCCTATGCAAAAAGCTACACCCTTGCATAAATGTTTGCCAGACTAGAGCTTTAGTTGTCATGTTTTCTATATTTCCATAATCTTTTGATTTAGGATTAGTATAAAATGTATCATGTCACTTATATTTGCTCACTCTCAAACACTGTGCCTTTTCAGCGTTGAATGCTAAGTTAGACAAATTCAACCCTGAAATAAGATACCATTTCCTTGCAGTAAGGGTAATTAAATGCTGGAAGAGCTTACCCAGGGAGGAGGTGGACTCACCATAGCTTGGAGTCTTTAAAATGAGATTAGACACCTCTCTGAAAAGCAAGATTTAATCCAGCTTCTGGGAAAAGATTCTAGTGTATGTGCATGGGAGGTCAAACTTGACGATCTCTGAATTCCCTTTCAGTCTTGGTCTAGAAATCTGAGTTTGCATGTATTTCAATTCAGACTTGAAAGATCAGTTACAGCATATACAGTATTACAGTAATTTATTATTGTTCTCAAAAATTTTGTGTTGTCAGTTGCAGGCAATAAGTTGTTTGATACATTTTGCATTGCCTTTTTATAAGTAATTAAAAATCACAAAGGATAATACACAGCAAAATACCTTATTATGAGGTTATTAAAAAGAGCTTATATACATGAGGAAGGCCAGCTTTTTACAGGGGCAGATGGGGGGACATAGGACTAGGGGGAATGACTTTAGATTAAAAGATGGCAGATTTAGGTTGGATGCTTGGAGGAAATTCTTCACTGAGAGGACAGTGAGGTGCTGGCACAGTGGCCCAGAGCAGCTGTGGTGCCCCATCCCTGGAGGTGCTCAAGGCCAGGTTGGATGGGGCCCTGGGCAGCGTGAGCCCATGGCAGAGGGTTGAAAGTGAATCATCTTTCAACCTAAGCCATTCTGTGATTCTATGATTCTATTATTATTATGAAGGAATAGAAGGCTTTAAAGTCTAAAGATATGTACACTGAACAAATGTAAAAATTATTTGTAGTCTCTTGTTTTTTTAGATGTAATAGATATTTCATAAATGAGCAGAATTAGTATTTGTCTAACTTGACAGTGATATAGTTGTATTTAGTTACTCAGCTTTTGTGAGGTTTCTGCATCATATTGCATATAATTGCTGACCAACAGTACAGTAGCTGTCTGTTCAACTGATAAGTAAATAAATTCATTTTAACAGTCATTAGACATTTGTTTCACTCTAGTTTGCCCTTATGAACACTTTATCTTTGTTTGCTCTTTAAAAGAAAAAAATATATAAAGGTAGGAACCATTAGGGATTTCTCTTTAAATCCAGCAATCTATGCATGCTACTACGAATCAATGCTCTGTAAGCTGTCTGGTGTTCTGCAATAAATTCTAGCTTTTATAGACTTTTACTAGGCCAGGTAGCTGCTAATGCCATAGAAATTGATTATTTGTGGTGTTCTTATCACTGCTTAAAATATCTAATTGCTTTTTCTCCACAGATTTGGATTTGGCTTGCTTGATGCTGGACGATTAATGAAGGAAGCCCTAACTGGACAAATGTTGGTCTCCTGAGAAAATGTGTTGTTGATAACAGGTCTGATTTGAGCAAGTCTAGTCAAATTCAATTTTAATACTATTTAAAGGCACACACAAAGCACTTATCACTGACTTTGGGCTGGGTTGTTTTTCAAGTCTCTTGTCCTACCAAAGTTTATTCCCTTTAAGTATTAAGCTTTGCAGAGTACAAAAGCCACATACCATTCAGCTGCAGGAACACATATTTTGCTTCAGTTTGGTAAATTTTGCTCAACATTTGTCTTTATTCTTTCATACTGATTCAGACTCAGGTGTGTAACTCATCACTGTATGACTGTTCCTGTGGAGAAATTATTGCATGCTGATTTGTATGAACCTTAAAAATTATTGAGTTAAAGAAGAGACAAGAAAGGATAACAATCAGTTCTCAGTTTAGTGAGGGTAGTCTTCTTTAAATAATCCTTAGGTAATCCTTAGACTAAAAGTGTAGGGTTAACACTCCTGTAGGATTTTTTCAATTAGCTGTGACTAGGTCATTAATTTACATGAAAAGTTGAATATGAATAACTTTCCACTGCTCTACCAAGTCAAGATAAGCATCAAACATCAAGTCACTGTCTTTAGTGGATCACTGCTTGGAGTGTGAAATTTAGCTCACAGTTCAGACCCAGCTCCAATTGAGGAGGATAAAAGATCTCCCATTCCACTAGAAAACTGGAATTCAGCATGTTTCCCTTCTGCATCAAGACGAAGCAGTGACATCTAGAAGTTTTCAAATAAAAGAGGGAATTAGAGGAAAAACTTTCCTCAAGGAGTGTTCAAGTACTGGAATGGCCCTCCCAGGCAGGTGGTGGAGTCACTATCTCTGGCAGTGTTCAAGAGGCGTCTGGATGAGGTGCTACGAGTTATCCTTTAGTAGCTTAGTGGTAGTAATAGTGATAGGATGGTTGGACTAGATGATCTTGTAGGTCCTTTCCAACCTTGTGATTCTATGATTCTATGATTATGTGATGGTTGAGGTGCTGCTGCCCTTAGGCATGCTGGAACTCTCACTTCGTGCAAATCACAAATCAACCTTGTATGCCATAGGTGGGGTGTTTCAACCAGTGAGTTGTACTTTCCTTCTTGGAGAGCTCTCATTTTCTAAAAATAGGTAAAACAGCAAAGAGGGACTTGCATCCACATGCTTTACACCCTTTGTAACAGTTCAGCCTGTCTTTCTTCCCTTGTTTCAAAAAGGGGCTATTGAAAGAGACTAACACCCTGAAATTCTCTTCTCAGCATGAAGCTGACAGTATTTGATCAAAAGAAATTAATAATCCAGTTATTTCGCAGCGTTATCACAGTCATAGAAGTTATACCATAAACTGTAACAACCTCAGATATGAGGACGCTATCAGGACACACCAGTGGGACACATACACATCAGTTCTGTGTCCCACTCCAGGACATTCAGCCTTAACATCACTGCCACCTTGCAGGGATGCCCTTTAACCACACTGAATCAGGATACTCTCTCTCTAATGGAGACATGCCACACTTTCAGAAACAATTTAAAGATTTAAGATCTGGAGAAAACAAAAAGAGAATTCAAACTTTTCCTTTTTTTGGTGCTGTGTAGAGAACAGTCATCCTAAAAGCCAAGAGATATTATTGTTAATTTAATTTAATGAGATTAAAATTAGTATAGACAGTGCAAACACCCTGATCTTTATGGCTCTGGGCATCTCATGATCAATGACTTTTGCATATTTTCCAAACATTTCTATAGAAAGACAGGACTACAGTAGATACACACAGTTCTGTAGGATGGTTGCTTCAAAGTTGTGTCCTCCGTGCACCTCTGCAATGATTCTCCAGCAAAGTGATGGCTGGGGAGTTAGACCCCTGAGGAACACGAGCACTATCCTTGTCTGGATTAACGTTACTGTGTAGAGGACACAGTCAGGAAATCTGTTTCTCAATACTATACCTACTTAAGACTCCTGAAGGTGTGATTAATTATGTGTGATTAATTAAACCACGAGTCATGACCTCCTTTTTTTCCTACCACATTACTTATAAACAGGAAAATCAGTGAACTTAAGTGGTATAGGACAGTAAATTTAGAGGCAGTAAAAAGAACTGGGTTGTGTTGCATACGGTCAGTCTACAGAATTTGCTGACACAGATGACCATCCGACAAATAGAGCTGATTGGAGCTCATTAACAACCACTGGGTTGTTAATGTTGTTACTATAACTGATGGGACCAGCCCTGTATTCCTGGGATTTCTGGGTGCAGTGGGAATGCAGAAGTGAGTCTTGCTTGGCTAATAAATTAAGAACAAGTGCTCCTTGTGCTGGCAAGTCAGACGTGAATGTTCTCCACGGACAACATCACTGTACTATTAGCTTGATCTATGACTTGCCATTTCATGGTTTGGTTATTTGTTTATTTCTCTGACTTTTTAATTCCTCTGGAAAATACAGTATTGGCTCTCACTGTTGACTGAATGACCAGACTTGAGCAGAAGATATAGCATTCTTCTTCTCTGACCTTTATATCAAAATTGATTAACAATAACTCTTTTTCAGAAAAGGATTGAAAATAAGACGTGGATTTTCGTCTTCAATGAACTCTAGTTACCAGTGAAAGTGAAAACCAGCTAATTTTGATGGTGCAACTGACCTCCTTCTCAGCAATATCTGAGTATACATTCCCTGTTGAAATGGCAAAGTATTGCTGAATTCATAGATAAGGTGAAGAACCACCTCTGGGTCTAGCTGTCTTTTTTTCTCTCTCACGTCTTTGATTTCTCAGGACTTTTCTCATTATTGGCAGTAGCAGGATGTGCTCATTGGTATTTATGCAGTCAGAAATGGCATACCTTAGAATTAGAGACTGTATAATCCTTTCAAGTACTCACAATCATTATGTTTATGTAAAGTATGGAGTCCACTCATAATCTAATTGTTTTGTTTATTATCATGTTTGCCATTTTACAGAATAGTTCACTGGAAGGTGCCTACTTCGTATTGTTCTCACTTCCTAATAAAAGATCTTATTTAAAAGAATCTTTATTTTCAATTATGAAAATACTTTCTTGATCTCATTAAGCCCAAAAAAGATGAAGTGTTATTTTTTCTCTTTATTTATGACAATACAAATTAAACACACCTATGGTGAACTAATTACTATGTTCGTGTTCCTTATACAGAGCAAGCTTCTTAACTGTGAATGTGAAGAGAGGAAGCAAGCAAAACTGAAGAGAACTGAAAAAGAAGTGTGAATTGTTTTGCTGTCATTATAGCCTACAGCATTGTATTGGGTCCCAATTTAGGATCGATTAGTGAATAGATATGTAAAAGACAGAGACATCTTTATTCAACAAAGAACAAATGTTTCAGAGGAAATAAAGATTTTTTTTTTTAAAGCACGCAGAATACTTTCTCAAACATTGAATAATGACAATACTAGAGTAGGAGCTTAATTTCATCTTCTACTTTCAGACCTTTTCATTGGAACAGTACTATGGACAGATCCAAACAATAATGTTCTTGATCTTCTCAAGTGTTACCTCAGTATTAGTATTGCTATTTTCCTTTTAAAGTGAATCACGTGAGAGAAATCACTCAGTTATAAAAGTTAAAGGTTCATCTTCTGTGCCTCCCTTCTGTACTTAAACCAGATTTGGACATTTGAATGTTCATGCAAATTGCGGCATCTTTCAGAGTTGTGCACTTTACATTAAAAGCCATTTTGCTAATTGTAGAGGTAAAAGATATCATCACCTTTGTTTAACCATGAAAGTGCTGATTTTCAAATTACTTGAAGTTTTAATTATTGTGATTATAATTCAGTGCTGCCTCCATGACATTTTACATGCAGAAGTTACTTCAGTGTAAACCACTTGGGATAACAGGCAGAAATATATAGGTTTGTCTCTGCATATTCATAGTATCTGGATGATATATTGGAAATTGAGAGGCCAGGAACATCCTTTGCTGTGGTGTGTCTCCATGGATGTCCATGATACATTTCCTTTCTCCCCTACATTGCAAAGCACAAGCACTAGTGGAATGGACTAGAAGAGGCAGAAAGAGAAGTGAATACAGTGAAAAAAATAGTGGCAAAAATCAAACATTAAATATTTCCTCTAATTGAGGTGGACAGAGGTGGACATTATATTCAACCAAACATCCAAATCTTCCACCACAGATCAGGACTAAGGCCCAGATGACTTCATTTTTTTGTTTCATTTCTCTCCATAGAAATTAACCAGCCCGTTATTCCCTGTTTATTAAATAATGTATTACCATCACTAATAGACTAGGCAAATGGCTTTGGTTTATCTGAACACTGTAATATTTTGCTGTAAACATATAAATATAGTATCCATTTATCCTATACTTGTTCCCAATGTCTTTAAAAACCAAGTAATTTTACAGGAAAACTTTGACCAAACCTAACCTAACACAATTCAAACAATGAGCTCAATACTGGCACAAATCCCATCCATTAAAAAAGTCAGTAGCATTACATTTTCTTTTAAAATTTGAGTGACAATGACAGAAATTCAAGAGATGGGCAATAAGGACCATGTGGTTCCTCCTCTTCAAGGCTTTCATCCAGAGCCTTAAGTTAATATATTTCCTTTTATTTCAATAGGCTTTGCATTACTCAGAAATTATTGAAAATTGAATGCCTGGTGGTAGAATGCATGTATGGAATGCACCACCACCTGGAACATCAAAGACAGATTCCTGTTCTCACAGGATCTGCTAGGTGAGAAGTCATGGCAGATCAGGAAAATGTCCAGTCACATCAGAGCACTCAGGCATCCTCCAGAGGCCAAACATTACTCTTGTAAACAATTATTTCTACACTAACCTAGATTTTCCATCTCTACTTCGAGCAGATAGATAGATTTTATTCTTACATTCTGTAAGATTAGATCCTAACTCCCCTAGTGTAAGTTTTAGGAGTTGTGAGAGAAAGATTAAGAGACAGTATCACCATGTGATAACACCACTCTTGGAACAGATGATCTCAGATTCCTTTATTTGTCTTAAAATCTTACATTATAAATGCCCACACAAAAATTCACATTGAAATTGGGAGGAACCAGTTCAGAAAAACGAGTGATGAGGATTAGTACGTGGCAGTCTATCCATATGGTCATGTAACTGCTTACCTCTGGGTAGCCAGCTTTCCCATCAGAGTAGTGGATTTATTTTCCAGATGCCACAGGATTTCCATTTCACCAAAAGAGAATGGAGGAAAAGAAAGATGAAGTGATTTGCCTGGCTAATGGAGGCCTAGAAGGAACCAGATCTCCTTGGCTCTTGCATAGAGGCTGTCCTTTTTCTGCCTGTGATGTGGAAGAAACATACACGTTATCAAGCAACTGCAAAAGACTTTCACCTGTTTTTGTTCTGAGTGACAGAGCCCAGAGGATGATGGGCAAGTTTCCCACTGCTCTGCAGGGATGTAGCTGATCCAATTCCCAGCCCCAGCGCACCTGCAAGGTCTCATTGATCGTCTGTTCAGGTCTCTGACAACTCAGAAATCTATTATCAGTGTGAGCATGTGCTTATTGATCACATTACCTGCTCCCACTCCTTGTGTGTACTTAATTGGACTGATCACACGCATAAACATGCACACACGTATGCATATATATTGCCATGTCGTATATATTAGCATACATGCACAGGGGTGGGTGTGCTAAAGGCGTTATATATTTTTCCTGCTTTACAAAATTGCACGCAAATAAAAAGAACGGACCTTCTCCGTGAAACGTGAGCACAGAAACACTCGCAAGTGGCCAAGAGCTGCTAAATAATTAATCAATAGAGCAGTGTGGCAGTTTGAAATGTAAATGTGATGGATGAAGGTGTGATGCTTGTCATCAAGCAGAAAATGATGTGACTGGAATGGATAACCCGCGGTACCTGCTGACTGGCAAAAGCTTGGACACAAAGATAAAGTAAAGCCATCAGAAAGCAGCCCCAGCAACCCCTAATTCTTGACTTTGACCCACAATTCACTTTCATGTCCCTGTCCCAGAAGAGATGTTTAAAAAAATGATGAAGAGAGATCTTCGGGTGGGAAAGGGGAGAAAAAAAAACATCTGAAGAAATGCTACCTGACAAGGCTGCGGGCTACATTCCTGAGAACACCTTTCTTTTCTTTATGTTCTCCTTCTTCTGTTAAATAAAAATGCAGCTCCTTTTTTCCCTCTCCTTTCTTCCAAAACTCTCTCGAGCCGTACCTGCAAGTGGTTCCGTGACTCGGAAGCTGACAACAGCCGCATGCAAAGGAACAAAGCACGATAGTGACAATTCAGAGTGCAAGCAGGTGAGAAAGATACCTTTTACTTATCAAACTAGGCTGTAAAAAATGCTCTTTTTACTCAGTGAGCTAGAAATAGAGGTGATCTAACAAGGCACTGATCCAAATTCTTTATTTGTGCGGAGATGTAATGCTAACAGGATTTGTAGGTTGACTAGTAGTCTGTGGCCCCTCCAGTCAAGTAAGGAAGCGTTCCTCTGATTTGGAAAGAGGAGAATTCATATAATTACCCTGTAATATATGACAGGAAAATGTATGCCATGGTGACAAAGGGTGACAGAAAATGTCCATCAACAACTGTGTTTTCATGGGCTTCCTACTCTATGCATTACACTTTCCCCACAGTGAGGCTCAACATGATAAGTTTCACACCAGTTCTTTGAATTTAAAGGAAATTAACTTTTGTGAAAAAAGTAAGGGTTTTTTGTGTTGTTTTTTTTTTTTAACTTGTTTTTGTTTTTAGAAATACAAGCCTGCAACTAGGATTTAAAAGTTTGATGTCTCTTTCTTCTTGGAACAGAAAATCCTATTTCTCAGTAAGTACCACGTAGCAAGTTGTCTTTTTTACTTCTTTTGTTATCAAAAGCCCATTCTTTCCAGAAGGTGAAAAGTACCACAATTTAACATTAGCTTTCCAAACTCCCCTGAAATATACATTAGCATATAACACCCACAAAAAGTGAAAGCTGAATATGGATATGCAACAGTGCGTTGGCATGCAAAATGTTTTTCCATTTCTTAGGCATAAAATATACAGATAAATATTATCTTATAAACTTCTGTTACTTTTTTAAGACATCTGTACACACTTTTACCTCTGAAGTGCTGTAAGGAAGCAGCATATTTCCAGAAAGTGAACTGGTCAGTGTTCCCATATTTCTTTGAATGATTATTTTTGTCTGAGTTTTTTAGTGTTCTTGGTTTTTGCTCGTTGAGGTGGTTTTTTTCCATTTGTTTCTTTATAAAATCATTAGATTGCCACTACATAAAAGGCAAAGTGAAAATGCAAAAAATATTTATACAAAAGTAAATGTGCCCAACTGCATTGTAAAAGTCAGGAATTAGAGCTCATACCTAAATAGCATATCTGAAGCCCTGCCTGGCACAGCCCCACAGTATATATACTTTGCTGTGGGACAGGTTACAGCTGTATTTCTGTTGAAGGAAAACCCTTCCTGTCACCTGCCTACCTGGATAAGATTTATGCAGGGGACCACCTCTCTATGTATGTAGGGAAACACCACATTCCACAGAAATATTCCGTAGTTAGAATGACAAATCTGTAGGCTGGTAAGTAATTCACATTCTATTCATTTTCTGGAGCATTTTTAAATTGTGATTTCAGATTTATACTTAGGGAGCTTTCTTCTAGCTTATGCTAAAGGCACTCAGTTCTATATCGTTACAGACATGGAAGGTACATGCATATTAATTTTCCATCCTTTTGCATAGTTTCAGGAATGCAGTCTGTGAGTAGGAATCAGAGTCTGGAATCTGAAGTCATCTAGGTAAGCTCACCCAGTAAACAATTTTTGTCTGGCATTAATGTAGCAATTTTTATCACTGTTTCGACTTCTACATGCCCATAAACTGCTGCAGGAGTGAAAAAGTCACTAAGCTTGTAGAAGTCCATTTCTCTTACTTCAGCCCAAGTCCCATCTGTACGAGGATTTGCAGTACAGAAATGTTAGATCAGGCTCTGAGTGCACAACAGTCATCCCTGACTTCTGAGCAGGAGACCAATCTACTTTCTCAGGTCAGAGAAAGATGTGCTGGACCCTCTCTTGTGCCTCGTTTGGATAACTGATTTGCTAGGTCTGTGAGATGTACCATCACATGAACCATGCCTGGTGCTGTGTAGCTGCCCATACAAAAAAAGGGGTGACTTCAATAGAAGAACACTGTAGAAGCAATGGTTCACTGTGCTAGGGATCGTATAGATACACTAGCAACTGGTCACAAAGTTTTAACAGAAATACAGAGGAGCCAACATGACTATGTGCTTTCTTCCCCCTTTAAATTTGCTGGGTACGTAAAGCAAAGTAACACAAAAAATGCCCAGAAGAAGGCAGATTTGAGAATCTGTGTCTTAATCCCAAAAGTGGTCAACCACAGCTGGCTACAAAAAAGGAGAGGAATGCAATGTTATAGCAGGTCTCTCTCCAAGTCCCAGCATTTTTCAGCTCAGGGACTTCTTCAGCTAGTAAAGTTGAGTAAAGCTAGTACAGCTTTGCTGTAGTCACAATGAGTACGATATGCAATGATGACCCTCCCATACCAGGCTTTGTTTTACCCCAAGTGTTATGCCGTACTAGTTGTATATCATCATGAAGAATAACTGCATTTCCCCAGAGTTGATTTCCTATGGCACGTTTTACTTAGATACTTTCTCAACACCCTCACAAATAAGCCATAGATCTAAAGCACAATCTCCTTTTCAAAATGAATGGGTCTGATTACAGGCGTATTCATTTTGTAAAAGGTACAAAAGGATACAAATGTGCCTTTCCATCTCATATAATGTCAAAGTAAGACCTTCTTGCCCTTTTATTTCAATCCTGGCAATTTGAAAATAAAAAAAATGACTTGATGATATGTTTTTTACCATTAAGTATATAATTGCTTTTGTGTTTTGACATTTAATTCCTCTTACCAAAATACATGGTAGGAATTAAAAGTCAAATCTTTTATGTTTTTGATGTACAGATCCTTCCATGTATTTCAATGAGAGAAATAGAAGTGTGAAGCCTTAAAGCAGGTATAGAGATGCCATCTAAAAATGAAGTCACTTTTCAAACTGGAAATCTAACCGTGGACCCAGTTCTGCCCTCTCTTATCTAGGTCAAAGCCCTTCTGAAATCTTTGGAAGGTCTGAATGAGTCAAAACTGACTAAAGCCTTCAGGACATGACCTTTAAAATAGAGCTGGGATTATACTGTGCCCTGAGGGCAGATTTCAAGATAGTAGTCCAGTTTGAAAATTACTTTTGAAAGCCAGACGGTAGGAGCTGGCCAGGAACTCAAGTGCACTGGCCTGATGTGGGATGGTAGCAGTGGGGAAGACAGATTCCAGAGGGAGGGCTGGGAGCAGCCAGGGCAGCACCAAGGAGCTGCCTGGTTTTGAGAGAAAAGTAGCTCAGCAAGTCAGTGAAAGGATGTGGACATGAGCCAAGGGCAGCTGGATATTGCTTGTAGATGTTTCCTGCTTTTTGTATCCTCTTTCATCTCTTTTCCCACTTTTTTTCCCACTTCATAAGGAATGTTAAATAAAGAAACCAGTAGCCTGACTTTCCCTTCTACTGCTCAGCCACACTATTCCTTCTTTCTCTTGAATCCTTCCTTTCCTTCCTGACACAAGAACTTCTTCCACCAGCCACCTTCTTCCCTCTTCCTCATATTCCCAAGCTTCCTTTCTTTCTCTGTTCTTTTGTCTCCCTTTCACTATCTGTGCCCTTTATCTGTGTTCATTCTGACTTTATGGCATGCCATGTTCTTCATCTTTACCTTTACTCCTGTTTACATTCATGTATAACCCACATGCTGAGGCATGCTGAGATTTCTTCTGGCTGTGGTTGCTCCACTAGTCACTTCACTGTGATTTCTCCCCACCCACTTAAGGCCTTCAGGATTTGATCCTACTGCCATAGCTGGGATTGCACAGTATCTCACAATTCAGATTTATCTGAAGGATGCTCATTCTGTCTGCAGAAGTTTACTGGAAGTCAGGAAAAAAATGCTGGCCAGGAATTCATACTAAGCTTGATACAGGCTGATAACTAGGTAATCTCCAGAGGTTTCTTCCAACCCTTACAAATCTGTGCTTCTGTGATGCTACTGCAGATAAAACTGTGAGCGTGAAGCACTTTCCAGATATTTTCCAGGGTGCATTTATACACACATACATGCATACATGTACAGAGTTGCACAGCTTTTCCCACCATTGCTTGCACATACAAAAATTGCAAATTAAAAAGAGGGAATGGAAAGTGCATAAGTTAAGATCTATAACTGGTCCCAGCTCATACCCTCAAACAAGGTCTAAAGTAGAACTTACAACAAATAAATTGATCTAATGCCATTTATGCTAAATGAGTAACTGCAAGTAATAAACGCAGTAGCCAGTCTTTGAAGAAGGCTCTTAATATCAAAGAAGCTTAAGATCAGATGTTCAGGTTATCTTTTGTTCTTGCGGGTGACTGCTTTGCTCATAAGATGGGTGTCATTTGAAAATTTGTCTTTGCTCAAGGGCCCTATTTCCCACTTTCAGGATTGTAATCCTGAAATCTATCAAGTTTATCAATCCTGAAATGAGACCATGTAAATCACTGCTTTCTTCCAGCTCAGTTGTGGCCAGTCTTCAGTGGGTCACTTTGGATCTTACAGTCCTTCAGAATATACTTGAATATAGATAAAAGTGTTAATTAATGCTACTGCTATGTTTTTTTCTGTTCACACAGATTACATAATGACTTTGGGATCATTCCTGTTGCCCTTCTAAATTATTTTTTTTTTATGGCAGTAGTGTCAAGCAACTGCAGAATTTACTTAGCCTAGCCTGGAAGAAAACTGTCTTTCAGAATGTGAAACTTGGGGGAGATATTTTCACTCAGCTGGAAACTTTATGGGGTAGATTTTGTCCATGGTCCAGAAGTAAATGTCAGCTCCCTTGAGATTTCAGAGCTTGATTTATGTTCAGCCCCAGGAGTCAGGTGATGAACCAGAACTTCAAACTCAGAAACCAAACACCTTGTGCTTCTGAGAGGTTGTATTTGTTTTTATTTATTTTCTTTTTTTTTTTTTCCTTTAATTTTGATGGATGATGTTTTGTTCTGCAGTGAGTTTTAATGCGTGTCGCTGTGAAACAATTTCAATTGTCGAAAACAACAACAACAAAAAGCAATATTTCAGTATTTCTCAAGAAAAGGCTTCAAAGGTTTCAGATCTTTTTAAAATGTTTCTGCTTTATTTTGACGTGGCATAAAAGTTTTGTATGCATTCTTGCATCTGCTATTGTGACAGCTGTATTTAATGAGTGCAAAATGATCAGAAAAACATCCTTTACTGTGGGTTGCCATTGCCAGCAGATGACAGGAAAGAGGCAGTGCTGTAATAAGAGGAGTGATGAAGTAGTTCATACTGCTACTGATGAGGTATTTCTAACTCAAATGCCTAGGTGTGCCTTTTGAAAATAATGCATTGGTCACATTACCTGATAGTTTCATCAGATTATGTTTCTGAGAGCATTCTGAAATAAAATTGTGCATCCGTAGCCTCAGGTCACAAAGTGGTTGGTTGTCAC